GCTATCGCTCGAGATTTTCTCGCGATTCATGCAGGACGCATGCTTCATCAACCTGCCTGCTCGACCTGGCCGCCTGGGCCCGCCTCCCCGACCCGCCTGTTTGGGTTTACCCGCCCGATCTGCCCATCTGGTTCTGCCACTTGTTTTCTGCTCTTAGCCCCCTCCTGTTATTCTGCCTCGTGCTCCATCCTCCTCCTTCCCCCTTGTCCCTTCCTTGCATTCGTCCTCTCTTCCCTGCCTTAGGGGCTGCACAAAATACACACGTTGCAGGTGAGAAAGATACACCCCGAAGTGGGTACGATCGAGGACGATGAGGGCGGGTATCGAGGGTTTGGGATATACGTGTGGCCCGCGAGCAGATAAGAACTAACAGTCTAGAAATGATTGTTGTTGTTGTTGTTATCGTTGTTCTTCGTGTTGTTGTTGATGCTGCTGCTGCTGCTGTTGTTGTTGTTGTTGTTGTTATTGCTCCTGTTGTTGTTGCTGCTGCTACTGTTGTTGTTGTTGTTGTTGTTGTTGGTGGTGGTGGTGTTGTTGTTGTTGTTGTGGTTGTTGTTGTTGAACATTATTTATTCTAAAGAATAATTATTGTTGGGACCCCTGGTGCGCGACCCCCTCGCCGCGCCTAGGCCGCAGCTACATTTTCATCATTTTCGTGAGGAAGCCTCAGGTAATACGATGTCATCAAGATCCGGTTGTTTTGTTCCCCCCCGCTGTCCCTTGCAAAAAACACTATAAAATGAAATTTCTTGTTCTAAAATAACCAAACTTCAAGAATCCCTTGCAAAAAATAAGGTAAAGTGGACATTCGCGCGCGCAAGACGAAATCCTTCCAAAACCTTAGTGTTCGTAGCGATTTCAACATAAAAACATCAAAAAACCAATGTTTTTTTTTTTTTTTTTTTTTAAAAGTGTCACAATTTCATCCCGCGCGCTCTTGCGGATTTGCAGGAAACCCAACTTTTTTAAACATTTCTGTCAAACGGGCTTTTGCGATCAACTTCTTCACGTGCTTCGAACTTCTCCAACAACGGTTGCGCACCTGCCAGGGCCATCATCCCTGTCAAATAATACCATGCGGGACACATTCGTTTTTTCTTTCCGTGCGCACGCCGAAATCTTCAAAAACCATTGGGTTTCGTAGGAATTTTAGCACCGCGCAACATAAAATCATTTTTCGCACCGTAGGCCCTTCAAATCGTCGTCGTCGTATACTAAGCTAGTTTCCACAAGATGTTACCACAAGAAGTCATTGAAACCATGCGCCAGTGTAGTAGCCACGGTCGTCCGCATGCCACGAAGTGAAGTGTCCGAACGTCATAGGGCGGGAAGCTGGGTGTGGGTGGTGGCGAAGAGTCGTTTGGAAATGTGGTAGAGCTTGAACCGGCCCCCCCACAAAGTGGGGGTATTGGCGGGCGTCGTATGAAAACCCTGGCACTGGTGAGAACACTGAGCGTTCGGGTAAAATGATTGTTGTTGTTGTTGTTGTTGTTGTTGGTTTTGTTGTTGTTGTTGTTGTTGTTGTTGTTAGATTCTCGTTGCTAAAGAATAATTATTGTCGTTCATCCTCCCTCCCCCCTCCCCAGTTCAATTTATGTTCCTGGGGCTCGCACCTTGCTGTTGTGCAAGGGAAGCGAGGTGTCACCAAACTGAGTTGTTGGCCCCCGGTTTTCAACAACAACGGCTCCCGCCTGATCTTTCCTCACGATGTACTCCCAACGCGCGCTTTCGCGCGGGACTTCCTCACAATGCATTCAGGGATCGCACTCTCGTGTGGTTCCTCCCAGTTTATTCAGACGCGGCGTCCTCGACACTCCAGAGTCACGCTCTCGCTGTCGATTCATTTGGGAATCGCGCTGTCGCTCGAGATTTCCTGGAGATTCATGCAGGACGCACTCTTCAGCAACTCGCCTGCTCGACCTGGCCGCCTGGGCCCGCCTTCCCGACCCGCCAGTTAGGGTCCACCTGTCCGATCTGCCCGTCTGGTTTTGCCATGTCTTTTCTTTTCCTGACCCCCTCTCCTGCTGCGCTTTCTCTCTCGTGCTCTCCTCCTTCCCCCTTGTCCCTTCCTTGCATTCGTCCTCTCTTCCCCTGCCTCAGGGCCTGCACACCATACACGTTGCAGGTAAGAAAGATATACCCCTAAGGGGGTACAGTCGAAGACGAAGAGGGCTGGTATCGAGAGAGGGTTTGGGATGTACGTGTTCTTTGGCCCGCCAGCAGATCAGCGCGAACAGTCTTAAACTGTTTGTTGTTGTTGCTGCTTGACGTTGTTGTTGTTGTTGTTGGTTTTGTTGTTGTTGTTGTTGCTGTTGTTGTTGCTGTTGTTGTTGTTGTTGCTGTTGTGGTTGTTGTTGTTGTTGCTGTTGTTGATTTTATGGTTATTGTTGTGTTTGTTGCCTGCGTGCTCCAATTTTTAACACAGATACGGTTGACCCCCCCCCCCGTGGTAGATTCCATTTTTTTTTTTTTTTTTTTTTTGTTTTTTTTTTTTAAAAAAAAAAAAAAAACAATTTAAGTGTCCTTCCCGGGGCTCGCACCCTGTTCTATTTGGGAAAATATTGTGCCTCAGATTTGTCTTGTTGCCCCCTGGTTTACCACAACCACAACGGCTTCCGCCTGATACTCCCTCACGATTTTTTCCCAAATCGAGCTTTCGCGCGGGACTTCCTCACAATCTGTGTAGGAATCGCGCTCTCGCGTGGGACATCCTCGCAAGTTATTCAGACGCCGCGCCCTCGACGCTCAGGAATCACGCTCTCGCTGTCGATTTCTTTACGATTTATTGGGGGATCGCGCTATCGCTCGAGACTTTCTCTCGCGATTCATGCAGGGCGCACGCTTCAGCAACCCGCCTGCTCGACCTGGCCGCCTGGGCCCGCCTTCCCGACCCGCCCGTTAGGGCCCACCCGCCCGATCTGCCCGTCTTGTTCTGCCACGCGTGTTCTCCTCCTAGCTCTCCTCCTGCTAATATGCCTCGTGTTCCATCCTCATCCTTCCCCTTTGTCCCTTCCTTCCATCCGTCCTCTCTTCCCCAGCCTCAGGGGCTGCACGGAATACACGTTGCAGGTCATAGACGTGTGTATGTATATACATAAATACATGTACACCTCCAAGGGGGTACAGTCGAAGACGAAGTGGGCGAGTATCGAGGGTTTGGGATCGACGTGTTGAATGGCACGCGAGCAGATAAGAGCAAACACTCTTACCATGATGGTTGTTTTTGCTGGTGTTGGTGTTGGTGTTGTTGTTGGTGTTGTTGGTGTTGTTGTTGGTGTTGTTGGTGCGGTTGTGGTTGTTGACGTTGTTGTTGTTGTTGTTCCTGCTGTTGTTGTTGTTGTTCCTGCTGTTGCTGTTGTTGTTATGGTTGTTGTTGCTGTCGTTGTTGTTGTTGTTGCTGCTGCTGCTGTTGAGTTTTCATTTCCAAAGAATCAATACTGGTGCCCCCCCCCCACTTCGGGGCACGCTGTTCTTCATTTGCAGTGCCCCTCGCGGGGCTCGCACCCTGCTTTTACGGTGGAAATCGAGGGGCCACCAAACTGGCCCCCTGGCCCCCGAGTTGCAACATCAAGGGCTCCCGCCTGACACTTCCTCACAATCCATTCCCAGATCGCGCTCCCGCGCGGGACTTCCCTGCGATGCATGCATCCGTCGTGCTCTCGCGTGGTATTTTCTCGAATTGACGTGCGCCCGCGCTCAGCCAGATTTCGCCCAGCGTGCGACTGCTCATCCAATCATACCATGCGGGCCGCGTGCGCGCGCGCCGCCACGCGTGCTCCAAACCAACACGGGCACACAACCAAGGGTTCGTTCGACAGCAGTCGGCAAGGTTTCCCTGCATCTCCGCGCGCGCGCTTCTTCGCCACATTCCCTGTCGGCGCTATCGCATCGCAGCCCTTCTCGTCATCGCCAATCGGCACCATTGCCGCCATCATCAGTCAATCACCTTCGTCACCGACCTCTGCACTTCATCATCACCATCACCACCATCATCATCATCATCATCATCATCATCATCATCATCATCATCATCATCATCATCATCATCATCAGCATCGTCATAGTCGTCGGCATCGGCATCGGCATCGGCATCGGCATCGTCATCGTCATCGTCCTCATCGCCATCATCACTATCACCATAATAATCATCACCATCGTCGCTAATAGCATGGGCGCCGTCATTGACCTCGCCGTCGTCGCCGTCAGCATCGCCGCCGTAAACGGTACTATCATTATCGTATCCGCCGTTGTCGACGTCATCATTGCATCGCGTCCGCCCGAGGCACCGACCCGCGCTAAAGCGCCCGCGCGCCAGCGCGGCCTTTGAGACGCGCTGCGAACCTCCGTGGTCGCACCAGTTGCCCCAAATCAGCCGGCCGCTCTGCACGCGAGCTTGCACGCGCCAGCGCGGCTGCACAACCTCGCCAGCCAGTGCCAGGTAGCCACCACAATCATTGGCGCGTGTGTTCTGCAAAACAAGCTGCAGGTGCGCGGGCAGTGCCCCATCAGTCCTTCTCCACATGAGCTCATACCATCCCCGGCAGGCCGGGCATCGCCCCCCCCCCCCCCACTCACCCCCACACCCACGAGTAATATTCTGCGCGCGCATTCATTCATGTCAAAAGGTTCTGTGATGAAAGAACCCATTGTGGCAAAGCCGTAACCATTTTGGCTCAAGCCGTCTGTGGCTCGACTTATTGAGGCGCCGCCGAGCAGCGATGTCGATCCGCATGGCTTCACCGCCAGAGGCCATCCGGAAGAGCGTGAACAGCGTGATGAGCTCTGCCACCGTGTCCACCAAGTTGGAGGACAGCGCAAGCGATTCGAGTGAGAAGATAGAGCTGTCCACCTACGTGTCCCCGATGAGCTTGGAGATGCCGCCCCGGCAGGATGCCAAGGTGGTCGACGACCGCGATGCGGACACCCCCGACGGCTGGGTGATGCGGCACAAGAGCATGGTCAGGCTCACAGGGCGCCACCCTTTCAACTCGGAGCCGCCCATGAAGGACCTGCAGGAGGCGGGCTGGATAACGCCCCCATCCCTGCACGTCGTTCGCAACCATGGCGCGGTGCCCAAAATCTCGTGGGAGAGCCACAAGCTTGTGATCGATGGCGTGCCACGCCCCTGCCAGCTGACCATGGACGATATTACATCTGGCAAGGTGGGCGAGATCGTCAGCATCCCCGTCAGTTTTATCTGCGCTGGCAATCGCCGCAAGGAGCAGAACATGACCAAGAAGACAATTGGCTTCAACTGGGGCCCTGGGGGGATAGCCAACAGCGTCTGGACAGGCGTGCGCCTCTGCGACCTGCTGGAGTACGTCGGGATTGCCAAGGCTACTCCCAAACACCGCTACGTGCACTTCGAGGGTCCGCCGGGCGAGCTGCCGCAGGGCAAGACGGGCTCCTACGGCACCTCTATTGACATGGGTTGGGCCATGGACCGCGAGCGCGACGTGCTCCTGGCTTTCAAGCAGAACGGCGAGCTGCTCACCCCCGACCATGGCGCCCCGCTGCGCACGCTGCTGCCAGGGTGCATCGGCGGGCGCATGATCAAGTGGCTCCACAAGATGTGGGTGTCCGATCAGCCATCCGAGAACCACTACCACTTCTTCGACAACCGCGTGCTGCCCCCGCACGTGGACGCCGAGCTGGCCACGGCGGAGGGCTGGTGGTACAAGAACGAGTACATCATCAACCACTTCAACATCAACTCTGCCATGTTCGAGCCCAGGCACAATGCCGTCTTCAACCCGGGCCCGAGCAGGGACCGGACCCTGAGGGTGTCCGGCTACGCCTACGCAGGTGGTGGCTCGAAGGTTATCCGTGCAGAGATTTCCTTAGACGGGGGCAAGAGCTGGGAGATCACGGACCTCGCGCGCCCCGAGGACGAGATCGCCGCAGCCCGCGGCACGGACAAGCACTGGTGCTGGGGCTTCTGGGAGACCGAGGTGGACCCCGAGCGCCTGCGGGACTGCCGCGAGATCGCGTGCCGCGCCGTGGATTCCAACCAGAATTTTCAGCCAGCGGAGCTGACCTGGAACGTGATGGGCATGTGCAACAACTGCATTTTCCGTGTCAAGGTACATCATCGGGACGATGGAAGCATGTGGTTCGAGCACCCAACCCAGCCAGGCACAGAGACCGGCGGCTGGATGACGGAGGACGCCGGCAAATTCGACCCGGCTAAGGAAAGCGAAGCTGCGCCTGGCGCGCGTGGCGTGGCGCCGAAGCGGCCTGTGGCTGCCATCTTCCAGACCTCCCAGGTCACCCAGGTCCCCGAAACGCGCGTTGCGAAGAACAACGTGGCAGGCAAGCTCGTGAGCCACAGGTGGAGCAAAATTCTCGATTGGGTTCTGAACGGCATCCCAATGTCCGAAATAGAGAAGCATAACAAGGACGGTGATGCTTGGATCGTTGTCGAGGGCCGCGTTTACGATTGCACACCGTACCTCGAGGACCACCCCGGCGGTGCGTCCAGCATCCTGCTGCTGGCGGGGGGCGAGTCCACAGAAGATTTCACGGCTGTGCACTCCAAGAAGGCATGGGCGATGCTCGAGGATTATTTCATTGGCCCAGTGGCGACTGAGAACGGCGGCTCGAAGGAGGAGGCGAAACGTGGACAGGTCGAGGAGGTTGACCCCAGCAAGCCATTCTTGCATCCGCGCAAGGCGCAGAAGCTCCCGCTGGTAGAGAAAATTGTCGTATCCCAAGACACGCGCATCTTCCGATTCGGCCTCCCACATCCAGAGATGAGGCTCGGCCTTCCCACTGGATGTCACATGTTCCTGAGGGCCAAGGTCAACGACGAGGTTGTCATGCGACCGTACTCCCCCATGACCGACGACAGTACCGTTGGCCACGTGGACTTGCTCGTGAAGGTCTACTTCAAGGGCGTCCACCCGAAGTTCCCCGACGGTGGCAAGATGTCCCAGCATTTGGAGTCCATGCAGATCGGCGACACAATCGACGTGAAGGGCCCTCTAGGAGAGTTCATATACAAGGGACTCGGCTCTTTCACATGGAAGGACCAGCCGCGCCAGTGCAACCTCATAAACCTGATCGCTGGCGGAACTGGCCTCACGCCTTGCTGGCAGGTGGCGCAGGCCGCCCTGCGCACAGCCGGCGACGAGACGCAGCTGCGGCTCTTGTACGGAAACGCGACTCCAGCCGACATCCTGATGCGCGATACGTTGGATGGCCTCGCGAAGAAATATCCAGGCCGCTTCCAGGTCTGGTACACGGTGGACCGTGTGCCCGAGGGCGAAGAGTGGGAATACGACACCGGCTTCATCAGCGAGGCGATGATCAAGGATCACCTCTTCCCCGCCAGCGAGGAGACCATCACCCTCATGTGCGGCCCTGTGCCAATGGTGAAGTTTGCGTGCAAGCCGAACCTCCAGAAGCTTGGCCACGCGGAATCCTCCCTGTTGGTGTTTTGATCTTCCCGCAGGTGGAGTAGTTTGTTAGGGTGTAGAGACGCGCGCCTTTAAGCCCGCTAGTTCTGCGGGCACGGCGATAGGCGCTCTCGATAATCGCAGGTTTTTGTCCCGGAAAGGGCGGGGGCCCAGGGTTCTCTTTTGGCCGTTTACCCCCGGGCCCGACGGCTCTAGGGCCAGCGAACTGACTTGCGATAAACGACGCGGTCGCGCATGGCCTGCGAAATTACGTTTGAGGATGTCTCGAGCGAAACGTTTTTTTTTTTTTTTTTTTTTTTTTTTTTTCTCTCAGAATTGTTTGAGGATTTCTCGAGCGAAACGCTTGTTTTGTTTTATATATTGCCCCTCCTGGGGACCAGAATTCAGAGGATCTCTCAAATGAAGTTCACGTGCCCAGGTCTTGAGGATGTCTCGAGCGAGATGCTTGGTTTCACGCGTACAGGTTGCCCAGGCAGATGTCTAGCAGGAGGATATGTTGAGGATTTCTCGAGCGATACGCTTGTTGTCACACGTCCAGGTCGCCCGGGCAGATGTCTACCATGAGGATGTGTTGAGGAAGTCTCGATCGTGACGCTTGTTTGCACGTGTCCAGGTTGCCCAGGCGGATGTCTAGCATGACGCGGTGTTGAGGCGATGTCGAGAGAAACGCTTGTTTTCACCTGTCCAGGTCACCCAGGCAGATGTCTAACATAATGTATTGAGGATGTCTCGAGCGAGACGTTTGCTCTCACGTGTCCAGGTCGCCTAGGCGGATGTCTAGCATGACGAGGTGTTGAGAACGTCTCGGGCGAAACGGTTGCTTTCGCGTGCCCGGGTCACCCAGGCGGATGTCTAACGTGAAAATGTGATGATGCCTCGAGCGAGCCGTTTGTGTTCACGTAGCCAGTTCGCCCAGGCGGATGCCTAGCATGAGGATGCGTTGGGGATGCGTTAAGCGTAACGCTTGTTTTCACGCGCCCAGGTCGCCCAGGCGGATGTCTAGCATGCAGATTCGGGCAGGATGTCTCGAGCGAAACGCTTGTCACCAGCACGTTCCCATGGCACGTCCCGTGGCACGTCGCCTGGGGCGTCCCTTGGGACGTTCAGCGGCGCGTCCTCCTGGCATGTTTACGTGTCCAGGCCACCCAGGGGGGGGATCTAACATGGTTGTCCCGAGCTGGCACCATGTGTTTTACGTGTCCAGGCCACCCAAGGGCGTCCCTTGGGACGTTGCGCGGCGCGTCCTCCTGGCATGTCCCCCTGTCAACTAGTTCTTCGGCGGCTACTATGTGCTCGGGCAGCTCGAGCTTAAGATCCAGATCAGTTCGATCAGGACTCGGATGCAAAGGATGACTCGATCCACAACGCTACAGAGCGCACTCGCGGCATCGCACATCGCAATTCATCACGGCGCAGCACAGCACAGCTTTTGGCCCGATACGTCATGATCGATACGCTCAGCCTTGCAAGTGCCTGTCGCCCAATCAGGTGTCTTGAAACCGTTGCCGTGCTTTCCGTTTCTATCTTCCTTTCCGGGTTCGTGGGTCGATCATGTGATGGTTTGATTTGGTGGAATTCTTTTTGAAACTTGCGTAACTTTTCAGATTGATTGCGAGTTGATGAGTCATCAAATCATGTCCCTTCGCGTTGGGGGAGCTAGTGTACAGAGTGGCCGTTGCCGTGTGACATGGTGGCCCACGTGAGTTGGAAGGTGTCTGCCGTGCCAAGCTAAAGGGAGCACAGGGTCAGCCCTGGATATCAATGTCGCTTGACACAACGATGAAACGAGTGGTGCAGCCCAGCAATCCAGTTTTCCATGCGTCCATGCGGAATGGAGTCCCGTAGTGTTCGCTCTGAGAATTCGTTTGTGCTTCGCCTTATCTCAGGTGGCGCTTATGTGTCCAACCATGGTCACCAATGCGCGTCGTCACATTTGCGTTGGCCTCGAAGCTCTTCGAGCTGAATTCCGCGGCCTCTGGGTTTGATTCTGGACGTTTCCGCAGGTGTGACTCCGCAAAAAGAAGAACCCATTGTGACACATACCACGACATCCACGCCCTTGTCCCTCTACAAGAGGAATGTTCAAAAATAGTCAAAACATAGTCTGGGGACAATTTTTTGACCATTTCCGAATATTTTGGAACATTTTTTTTTGTTTTTTGTTTTTATATCGTTCGTCCAAAATCCGCCTCTAGGGGGACACGCCCGACCTAAGGCCATCCTGTAGTCCGTGGGGGCGGTCTGCGGCGCAAGGGGTCTCGGCTCACGGGCGAGGTCCGGAGCTCGTTGTCGCTAAGAATTGGCCATCATCGGGACAGGAATATGTGGAGAGGGAGGGGAATGGGGGAGGATGGAGAGGAGGAGGAGGAGGAGGAGGAGGAGGACGAGGCTGATGATCATTGGACGGGGATGATGCTGCTGCTGATGATGATGCTGATGATGCTGATGCTGATTCTGCTGCTGATGATGATGATGATGATGATGATGAGGATGAGGATGAGGATGAGGATGAGAATCAGGATGATGATGAAGATGATGATGATGATGACGATGATGATGCTGGTGGTGCTGATGATGACGATCCTGATGCTGATGCTGATGCTGATGCTGATGCTGATGCTGCTGATGGTAATGACGCTGCTGCTGATGATGATGATGATGATGATGATCATGATGTTGATGATGATGACGATGATGATGCTGATGATGCTGATGATGCTGCTGATGCTGATGATGCTGTTGATGCTGCTGCTGATGCTGATGCTGATGATGCCGTTGTTGATGTTGATGCTGATGATGATGATGCTGCTGATGATGATGCTGATGATGGTGATGATGATGCTGATGATGATGCTGATGATGATGATGCTGCTGATGATGCTGATGATGATGATTATGACGACGATTATGAGCATGATGATGACGGTGGTGGTGGTGGTGGTTGTGATGATGATGAGGATGATGATGATGATGCTGATGATGATGATGATGGTCATGATGATATTGATGATGATGATGATGATGATGATGATGATGCTGATGATGATGATGCTGATGCTGATGCTGATGCTGCTGCTGCTGATGATGGTGGAGGTGATGATGATGATGCTGATGATGCTGATGCTGATGCTGATGCTGATGCTGATGATGATGATGATGATGATGATGATGATGATGATGATGATGATGATGATGATGATGATGATGATGATGATGATGATGATGATGATGATGATGATGATGATGATGATGATGATGATGATGAGGTAAGGCCGGAACGGTCTGGGAGCGGAGCTCGACGCAGCCGTTGCACATTAACATGCACACGCACGGGCCCTCGGGCCCACGAGGGAGGGGGGGAGGTGAGCGCACTGAGCGCTCAGCGGCTCGGGCCCCTCGCCTCCGAGCCGCGCCCCCGCGAACGGCTACGCGGGCGGCTCAGCGGCTCGGGCCGTCCGCCCCCGAGGTCGGCGCCCGCGCCTCCCCGCGTGGGGTGCCTCCCCTGCCGCATCCCCCTCAACGCAGCTTCCTGGCGGGCGCTGGCGCCCCCCGCGCACCTGCCGCGGAGCGAGACCACGCGCGCCCCGTCGGCGTAGCAGCTGCAGACCGCGCAGAGGACGAGGCGCCGCTGCCCCTCGCCGATCGCCAAGAGGTGGTGCGACTCGTCGAAGTCACGTTCCACCATCGCGGGCAGTCGCCTGCGGCCTCGGCCCCCGCTGCCTCGCCGCTCTCATCTGCGTCGCTGCCGTCGTGCTGGGCACCTCCGCGGGCCTGTGCCGCCAGCACCGCGGCTGCCACCGCGCCCGCGGCGGCCGCTCCCGCGCCGTCGGCGTTTCGGCGGCCAGCGCTCGCGGAGATCCGCGGGCGGCCGCGCAGGGTGTCGGCCTCTTGGCCAGGAACCTTGCGCTTCCGCCCCGCTGCCCGCTGCCCAGGTGGTCCACCGTGGACGGGCGCGCCGCCCGAGCGGCCAGCGCATGTGTTGCAGAGCCAGCGCGTCCCGCTCGCGAGCGAGACCGCCGTGCCGTGCGCGGCGCAGGGCCAGCGTCTGCAGCCTGGCCCGCCGTCGCGGCAGCGCGCGGCGCCCCGCCGTCTGCACCCGTGCCCGCAGCAGGTCGGCTCCGCCACGCCCGCGTCCGCGCCGTCGGCCGCCGTGAAGGCGGCGCTCCCCACCTGCAGCGCTTCGCCGAGCCAGCGGACCGTCGCAACGGCGATCGCGTCGGCCAGCTTGATGCGCCTCGCGGCCGCCTCGCACGTGGGGTGTAGCTCGGCGCCCGTCTTGGCGAAGCCGTCCGCGGCGCGGTTGCCCTCGTAGTCGTCCATCGTGGTGTGGCCGTCGCGGACCGAGCGGGCCGTGGCGTGCCCCTTCATTTTGCTGACCCGCACGCTCAGCTGGCCGCCGAAGTCGTCCACGGCCTGCCAGAATTCGCGCCGCACCCCCAGGCACGGGTGGTCCCACGCACAGCACCATGCTCTGTCAGCGGCGAATCCCGTCACGAGCAGCTTGCAGTCCGTCCTGAGCTCGAGGATGCCATCCGCGCCTCGCAGGCCCCAGCGCAGAGCGCGGGCCTCGGCCAGGATCTCGCCTGCACTTGCGTGCTGCGGCAGGTGGGCGGGGGCGCAGCCCCAGGCGCCGCGCGGTGCTCCGCGGGTCTGCAGCGCCGTGAGCCCCCACCCAGCGCGCACCTCGGGCGACCCCGCCTTGCCGCGCATCGCCGAGCCGTCGGTGTACAGGATGCTGGCGCCCGCCAGGGCCGCGTAGCCGTGGCCGCTGCTCCACCGGACCTCCTTGGTCGTCAGCGGCGGTGGGAGGGCGGCCGCGTGGTCGGGGATGAGGGTCCTCGAGCGGCGGGCGTCCTCGCTGTCGGACTCCGCGGCCACGTCAGCGAACGCCTGTAGCACCTCGTCGCCCGCGATGGCGTCGCGCCGCTCCGCTGCGAGGGCGGCACCTCCGGGCGATGTGCCTCGCCGTGCCGCGGCCGCCGCACCCCGCGGGGCAGGCCCCCGAGCGGCGCGGCGGCGGGTCG